AAAAAAAAAAAAAAAAAAAAAAAAAAAAAAAAAAAAAATGCTGGGTATAAGATTCCAACAGTTTTGAGCAGGGAAGAAGGAGAGAGGAGGTGGAATTGGAAAAGAAGTTTGTTTGCTAATTTTTCCTTTTTTCTTCCTCAGGCAGTAAATCCCTTAATCTGTCCATTGTCCACCTTAGCTAAGATAGTATACACATGCTGCTTTTACTGTCTTGGAGCTAGATATTTCAAAGCAGTAGAAATGCTCAGTGGAAAATGCAGATAAACAAGTGAGTCTTTACTGCTAACCAGGTTGACCACCTCACAGTCTTGCATGTGGCATGCTCTGGTGTCTTTATCTCAATCTGGAATTCTAGCTACTCACCAAAGCATTATCTTGACCTACTCCTCTTACCTCCAGGGCTGCCAGCAGAGGTTTGTACTGATTTTCCCAGATCTTGAAGGCTACTGAAGGTACAAGAGAGAACACTTCATTCCAGAGAGTCCTGTTCAGTCACATGCAATCCACATCAAAGGAAAGATAACCAATGGTGTTATTTCTCAACCAAAGTGTTATTTTCATCACTTGCAAATAAATTGAGAGACTCAAGTGATTTAAGGTCCTCACAATCAACTTTCTTTATCCAACCAGCAAGCTTCCATTTCATTGCAGCTGTTTTATTATGCACAGTAAAAACATTCACAGTTTTGTTTGCTGTTGTTGATTGTTTGGCCTTGAAAAATATCAACTAAAGAAGCCAAATTAGTAAGTCACTTTTCATCACAGGGGAAAACTTTACCTTAGGCCTACCTTTGCTGTGGCATCTTTCATGTATATAAAGAAAAACAATTTAATCCAGATTTCAAGTGCTACGCATCCTCGCCACACCTACCTTATTAAAAGTGTCTTCACTGGCTTTTTTTTTTTTTAACTATCAAGCACTTGGCGAATTAACTCTCTTCCAAGAAATCTTCATAATAAATATCATTTTAATGGTAATAACACTAACCTGTAAGTTTTTATGCAGCATTAAGCAATGGATTGGTTTTATCTTAGTTCTTAAGAGTATATTGTCATCCACTGCATGCCTGAGAGCAAGGAATCTCTCAAAGATAATTAGGATCATGTCAAAAGGACATAGGCACTAATTTGAAAAGGCTCTCATTGACTAAAGATGGGACAGTATGAGCATTAAAAGAATAATAATAATGATAGCAACAGACTGAAGCACACCAAATACATAAAAACCCATGAGTTTGTAAAGATGTTCTGAAAGAGAAAGCCCTTGGTCACCTCTGGAGTTTCCTAAGATACCGATTCATTTATTCTGAAAATTAATAAAGACAAAGTGAAGTGTTAAAACTACTTGCTTGATGATATTATTAATACATATTTACAGCCTCTGTGTGACCAAAGTGGATTTGGCCATATTTTGGTCATCAATACATTTTCCTATGATTGAATTCTGCCTTCTGTGACGATGCTGAAACTAAATCTTGCCTAGTTTTGCTTTTTCTATAATTTCATGTCAATGAAATCATTCAGTATAGTCTTTTGTATTTTACTTTTTTCATGCAACATTTTGTTTTTGATATTCATCTATGTAGGAATATTTTGTTCCTTTTTATTGCTAAGTAGTATTACATTCATTTATCAGTTTGCTTACCTATTTACTAGCACTTTTCCTGCTTCTGTTGAAATGACCATTTTTTCTTTATTCTATTAATATGGTAATTACATTGATTGATTTTCAGAAGTTAAATCACCTTTGCATTCCCGGGATAAACCCTCCTGGTCCTGATGTATTATCCTTCTAAATGTTTCTGAGTTTGATTTACTAAAATTCTGTTCACGATTTCTGTGTCTATGTGTATGAAGGATGCTGGTCTGTAGCTTTCTTTTCTTTTGAGGTTTTTCACTGGTTTTACTGTCAGTGTAAAACTGGTCTCAAAGTAAATTTGGAAGTGTTGTTTCAATGTCTGTTTAATTCCTTGTAGAACTTTAAGGAACACTAAATTATGCATAAAGTGTGGCATATATATATGAATATGTTTTATATAAAGTATATATTTTCAATATAAAATAATCTGTTCTTACCTTGTTCTTTCTTTTCCTAATTTCCCTAACAAACCTATCCGATTCCTCTTTACACCTAGCCTGAAGTTGGTTGAATTAGTGAGTGACTTGTAATGACAAATTTTAGAAAATTAGAGCAAAGCAATTCTAGGTACTATTGTCACTAGATATCCAGAGGAGTTAATGGAGACCCTAGAGACTGCCATCCTTTCCCAGAATAGAGTACCTTCCCACCCTTTACAGGTCTCTATCAGGTAACATTCATTACAAGCCTTTCCCCGCAGGAAATGTATAAATTCTCTGCTGTGTACATATTTACATTATGAAGTTAACGTGACTATCGTTACTCTTTTTGCTTCCTATGAAGGCGCACACTCTTCTTACTGATACAACCCAAAGACGGAGCAGCAAAACAATGAAACTCCAGGGTTGTGTGGCCTGGGGACAACTAGTTTAACTGGGCATGCTCAGTCGCCAGGCAGATTTTTTTCGGTGAAGGGGAAACTACAACAGCGCGTACAGTGCGCGCGGAGGTGGGCGTGCCCTCGTGGAATTTAGAACGTTGCCTCGGCCAATGGGGCCTCGCGGCCGGCTGGCGGGGCTCCTCATTGGAGAAGCTGAGCGGAGAGCTAGTGGAGGGCCCCGGGAGGGAGCCGCCGAGGTGCGGGTCGGAGAGGCCGGGCTACGCCGTCCCCTGCGCTTGAGCAGCTGCGGCGGCCGAGGCAGCATCCAGCGGCGGAGCCAGCAGTTCCAGCCTGTTGCTTACTTTTTGCTGCACCAACACAGTCATTATGCCGAAGAGAAAGGTAAGTCTTACCAAAAAAGATTTCAAAGGCCTTCAAATTGTGCTTACAGCAAATCCTGTCATTGCAGTGGATCAAGCGGAATGCGCGCGGTAGTAACCCCCGGGTTGGGAATCTCTTCGGTTCTCCACGCTTGTTTTCAGATGCCTGTTGCAAACATTCCTCCCTCCCTCCCTCCTGCCCTTCATCCTCCCCTCCGTCCTCATCGATCTCTGATTGTTACTTTCTCTCCAGAGACGCGGCTTCCCATCTTTATGAACTCATTCTCGCTGGAATGGTTTCCACCCCCAACAACAAGAAGCAAAAGCGGCTTCTCATTCCCCTTTCCAGAAGGGGAGTTTCCTCTTTGCAAACTGCCAGGTTGTGCTTAGTGTAGAGGGAAAGCAGCGAGAGGGGAAAAACTAGTACAAGCATAGGGAGATCGAAAAATAATAATAATAATAATAAACCGGGCAGATGTTGAGATTATTCCCATGTGGGCTGTGCCGGCGGCCGGGTGCCCCGCGGTGGCTCTAAGGCTGAGGGAGAGGGAAAGCCATGTTTAAAATAGCGCTCACCCTCCTGCTCGCCTCCGCGGCGGACCCGTATGTACCAACTCCGGTGTCACTCGGGGCCGGGCACTCGGCAGGCGGGGCCCGGGCGGCCTGGACCTACCTGCAGCTCGCAGCGGGAGCGGCGGAGTTGGCGGGTGGAAGACAGGACGGCGCCTAGGGCGCCCAATATGGCCAGTCCAAGGGCAGAGGCCATCAGGTCCTCTCGGCGACTCGAACCCACACTCGTTCGGGGAAGGGCGTCCGCGCGCTCTCGCGCCCCTCCTTGCGTAGAGGCATAACTTCGTATAGCATACATTATACGAAGTTATACGAAACTCCGGTGTCACTCGGGGCCGGGCACTCGGCAGGCGGGGCCCGGGCGGCCTGGACCTACCTGCAGCTCGCAGCGGGAGCGGCGGAGTTGGCGGGTGGAAGACAGGACGGCGCCTAGGGCGCCCAATATGGCCAGTCCAAGGGCAGAGGCCATCAGGTCCTCTCGGCGACTCGAACCCACACTCGTTCGGGGAAGGGCGTCCGCGCGCTCTCGCGCCCCTCCTTGCGTAGAGGAAACTAGGGTCATCTGAGTCTCATCTTCCACTCCTTGCGGACTGTGTCCCCTTCCGCTCAGGCCCCGGACACCAAATACCATGCACGGGGACACACATCTCCCTCGTGGTCGGGCTGCGACATGTCCTTGTCCCAGGGAGGGAAGGGAAGGCTTTCCTCCTCCCTGAGGAAACGTGTGTGACAGTTGGTTCCTGAGAAAATGCTTTGCCCGCAGCCTGCCCCTGTGTTTCCAACAATGTCAACCTGTGTGGGTGTTAAATATGAAGCGAAATTACAAATAATATTGCTTTATCAATTAAAGATTGTGGACTGATTTGTGTCTGTGAGTGACTGCATTGTTAAAAAATATTGAAGCTTTTAAGATTAGGAAGTTTTTTGCCTTATATGTCATTTCAAGAATTTGGTGGAAACTTCCCTCCTACTCCACTTTTTACAAAACGTAATTAAAACAGTTTTTAAAGCTCTTAGAGTTTGTACACACGGACAGTGTTGTCTGCCTCGTCCTGTGCAGAGTTTGACTCGTATTATCTCATTTAATCCTCAGAACACTTTGAGCAGTGTTAACACCATTGAACTGGGGCTTAAAGACATAAATTGACCAACATCTCACCAACCAATAGCTAATAGCAAAGAGTTAATGAGTTAATCATATGCTGTAGATCCCAAAGTCCTTACTCTCTACCATAATTTATTCATCCCCTTCATTTAGTGATGGGTGGGTTAAAAGGAATTTAGGAAATCCCAAGGGACTCCCAGTTTAAGAATGTGGATGGCATATTAAAAGTATTGATACTTGAGATTCATTATTTAAACTTAATTTTTATGAAAATAGTGGGGTTTTTTAGCCCTATTGTACTAAGATGAGGATATTAAAATATCACCATTTTCAGCATTTTATCATAGGTTTTAATGATGGGTTGGGAATTCTAGTAGAGTGAAAGGAACTAATCATCAAGAAATGGGTTACTAAGTACATTGGAGCCATCTTTTCTCCTGGGAATTATTAACAAATGTTTAGATAAACAGTAGGTTAGATGTGCACTTTTTGTGTATAATAGACTTGGAATTGGTAGAACCTTTCCTTGACATTCAAGGGCAGAGTTGGTGAAACCATTACTCTTACTTTCCCTTACTGTCCACCTTCTCAAGGAGACAGAAGGGAGGGAAAGAAGAGCAACATAGTAACTGGCTTTGGCAGGGAACCCCATGCATTAGCTAGCCAAGAGTCCTGGGACTAGGGACAGACCTGTGTCCAGGCACCTATGTGTCATTTTTCAGGGCATCAGAGTGTTCTTCAGAGATGGAAACCCCTCCTTGATTAATAGGAAGGCTTTTCATTTATACCTGGAGGCCAGAGACCTGGGTCAGTACCTGGGCAGGTGCAACCACAGATCAAACACGGCTATCATGGCCATCCCATCTGTCAGTGAAACCTTAGAGCTGCCTCATGGAACCCTGGAGTTCACTGGAACTTTCGTTAGAAACCACCATCATTAGGTAAAGCTGCCTAGATGCAAACAAACAAACAAAAAAGCAGAAACAATCCAGGTGTAGCTCTTAAGAAATCCGTAAAGCTAGAGTAACTGCCAAAGCATTTACATTGTACTCCACAGTATTTTTCTTGACTAAAGAACTGCTTGTTCTACATTACGATAAGCTTTAAAAGTGCCCCCATAATACTTTTTTTTTTGCTATCTTTGCCCTTTGTGTTGCCTTTTCCTAGAAATTAAGAAATGTTATTGAATGAACATTCTGATTAAGTTGTTCTGCAGAGCAAGAAGTGGTACTAACATAGTCAATAAAAACATCTGGAATCCTAGCACTGTTTTAATGCTGTAGGAATTAAATTTTGCAGTTTGCTCTCTTGGAGCTTGTATTTAATTGAATGAGATAAGACTTGCAGGCACAAAACAGATTGAATAACTTTAAGGCTGTTTATATGTTTCAGAATATATAGTTATAGACTACAAAAGGTATAGGATAGATGAGGAGAGAAGGTTGAATTTGGGCTGGTCTGCATAATGTGGGTAGGACTCAAATATATCAAGAAAGTCAGAGTCATTTTCTGTTATCAGGCATTTGAATGAATCTTCTGATTGTCTCGTAGTGTGACCAGGCCTCAGTTATATAACATTTAGGTCACATTATATAAAATGTTCTTATGAATTTCTTTGTAAGTTTTATATATGTCTTTGTGTGTGATAGTCATAGCTACATTATACCAATGGTGTTTTATAACTGCTGTATTGTTTTTTGAAGCAGCATAGCACTTAACAGTGAGGAGTTCTTCGGTACATATCAATCTCTGTCTGACTTTGTAAGATTTAAATAAAGTTGAGTTTCCTGTATTTATTACATAATGGGTTGTGAGTGAGGGGAATAGCAGGAGAAATTGTAACACTTATGGACTCAGGTGGTGGTGGGACAGTGAGTGACTTGAGGTCTAGACTGTTCTGGTCAGACATCCACAAATGCCTGCAGTGGTCATGTCGTTATGTGATCTGATGTTCTACAAAGAGGCATCAGCCAGTGAGGCCTAGAATCATAGTCCTGTCACAATTAGCAGCAGCAAACACATTTTCACGTACTGTTTATTTTTCTAGTTCCTTATCACTAGAACTATTGTAAATGTCTAGTGTATCACATTAGAAGTTCTTTAATGAGGCAATTTTTCATAAATTTGTCATGTAAAACGGCAATTTCTCTTTACACTTAAAATAAGGTTTAAGGAAGAAAAGCCCATCTGCCTCTAGCTTTGAAATTTGAAATCAGCTTTTTATCTGTTTTCTTAAAATGGAAAAGCCCAGTAGCATTGGGCTTGATATAGGACATGATTAACTAACAGTGCTCAAGGTTTCTGATAATTAGTCTTTCAAAAGAATATCACTCATAACACAAAAGACAGAAACTGTAAATGAAAACACAGATAAATTTGGCTACATGAAAATGACTTTTTCAATGTGGCAGAAAAACTCTGTTTAAAAAAAATTCAGGGCCGGCCCGGTGGCGCACTGGAGAGTGCGCTGCTTGGGAGCGCGGTGGCGCTCCCGCCGAGGGTTCGGATCCCATGTGGAGACCGGTTCCCGCTCACTGGCTGAGTGCAGTGTGGGCGCAACACCGAGGGTTGCGATCCCGTTGCCGGTCCCCAGTATGGGCGCGACACCGAGGGTTGCGATCCCGTTACCGGTCAGTAAAAAAGACAAAAAGGAAAAAAAAATTCAAATTTACGAAAAAATATTTATACCACGTATCACTGAAAAGGTGTTCCTATTTTAAAAAGGTAGAGTTTCACATGTCCTTATGGAAAAGATATATATCCCTTATAGGAAAATAACAGATTCAAGTAGGTGAAAATGTTTAGTTTTACTAGAAATCAAAGAAATGCACATTATTAAGAATAATGAGATGTGATTTTTTTAAGTCAGTCTGGTTTAAACAGATTGAAAGTACCACTGCCCATTGCTGAGGCACTTATACAGACATTCAGCACTATCAAGCAATGTGGATGAGAGTTTAATTTCTTTAAAAAAAAAAAAAAAGATTTATTGAAGTATGATGTGTGATCTACTTACCTTAAAGTCCATTCATCCAAAGTATACATTTAAATGATTTTTAATAAATTATACAGTTGTGCAACCATTACCATAATCCAGTTTTAAAATATGTTCTTCACCCCAAAAGGTCCCTCATGTTGTTTATAGCCAATCCCTATACCCACCCTAACGCTAGATGATCACTGATCTACTTTCTCAATTTGCGTTTTCTGGAAATTTTATATAAAAGGAATCCTACAATATGTAATCTTTTGTGTTTGATTTCTCTCACTTAGCATAATATTTTTGAGTTTCATCCCTACTTCATTCTTTTTTATTGTCCAATAATATTCCATTGTATGGTTATACC